AGAGAAAGAATCATGCTCCCCACAGTGGATTATACAATTGCTCTGATGGGAGGTGCTAAGGTTTTCTCTAAACTGGATGCCAATGCGGGCTTCCACCAAATCTGCTTGGATGAAGATTCAAGGAAACTGACCACGTTCATCTCACCATTTGGTCGATTTCGATACAAGCGAATTCCCTTCGGTATCAAATCTGGCCCTGAGAAGTTTCAGAGTGAGATCTACCGAATACTAGGTGGTCAACAAGGTGTGGTATGTCTCATGGATGACATTGTCGTGTTCGGAAAGAACCAGGAGGAACATGACGAGAGACTCGTACAGACATTAACACGGCTGAAAGCAGCAGGTGTCACCTTGAATAAGGATAAGTGCCAATTCAGCAAAAGCCAGATTGACTTTCTAGGTCATCGGATCGGAGTTAATGGTGTGGAAAGCTCTCCAGAGAAGGTTGAGGCTATATTGAAAATGCGTGCTCCAGAGAATGTGAGTGAGGTAAGAGGTCTGATGGGTACAGTGAACCAGCTCATGAAGTTTGTACCCAACCTTGCTACTATGACACAACCTCTACGTGAACTCTTGAGCTCTCACAGTGCATGGTGCTGGGGTCCAGCACAGGAACAGGCTTTTAAAGAGATTAAACAATGCTTGACGAGCAGCCCAGTGTTGCAAATATATGATCCTTCACTAGAGACCAAGGTGTCAGCAGATGCGTCTTCATACGGACTTGGCGGAGTGCTTTTGCAAAAGCACGGTGACAGGTGGGCGCCAGTGGCGTATGCGTCCAAAAGCCTTCTGGATGTAGAGAAAAGGTACGCCCAGATTGAAAAGGAGGCCTTGGCTAGTACCTTCGCATGTGAACGATTCACAGATTACATTCTGGGAAAGGATATTATACTAGAGACTGATCATAAGCCTCTTGTACCACTGCTATCCACGAAGGAGTTGGATCAACTACCCGTACGTATTCAACGAATGAGAATGAGGCTCATGAGATACTCGTTCACACCTGTTCATGTGCCAGGAAAACTGTTGTACACTGCCGACACGCTATCCCGTTCTCCAACACCAGCCAAATCAGGTGATTCATTTCATGAGGAAGTGAACTTATATGCTCATCAAGTCATAGCTGGAATGCCTATCAGTGATAGCAAATTAGATGATATTATGATCCATCAACAGGAGGATGAAGCATGCAGGCAAATTATGAACTATGTAGCTGAAGGTTGGCCTGAAAAACATAATGTCAAGGGTTTAGTCAGCCCTTATTTTGCTCATAGAGCAGAGCTGACAGTGGTTAAAGGGCTGTTGATGATGGGACCTCGAGTCGTTATACCATCGTCTATGAAATTGGAAGTCCTGGATAAGATCCACGACGGTCACCAAGGGATTGTCAAGTGCAAGGCATTGGCCAGAAACACAGTGTGGTGGCCAAGCATGATGAAGAATATAGAGTTAATTGAAAACTGTCGCAAGTGTCAGTCTAACAGGAAAAATCCTCCAGAACCTCTAGTTCCTACCATGCTCCCACAACGACCATGGCAATACATAGCCACTGATGTCTATGAACTCAATAAAAGACTGTATTTAGTAATGATTGATTACTACTCCAGATGGATAGAGGTAGCTAGTCTGAGTTCAACCGCCTCAGCAGAGGTCATAGACAGGATGAAACGTGCATTTTCCAGATTCGGAATTCCAGATCAAGTAAAATCTGACAATGCCAGCTACTATACATCAAGGGAATTTAAGATGTTCACTTTAGATTACGGGTTTCGACATGTCACTAGCAGCCCAGGTCATGCTTCAGGCAACGGTGAAGCAGAGAGAGCAGTGCAAACAGCTAAACGTCTCCTAGCTGGCTCTCAAGATCCTTATCTTGCTTTGCTACAGTATAGAGCGACACCATTGGCTAATGGTTATTCTCCAGCTGAGCTAATGATGTCAAGGAGGCTAAAAACCAAAGTGCCGGTGGCCCCTGTCTCAGCTGTCCCCAAACCTTGTGCAGAATCATGCCCTACGTCAGTTTGAAGACAATCACAAAACCAAACAGAAGCTGCACTTTGACAGAAGGCATTCAGCGAGGCCTCTTGTTCCCTTAGAGAAGGGAGATGAAGTGATGGTACAAGACAGAGGACAGTCTGGAATAGTAGTGGAGAAGTGCACACCTCGTTCTTATGTGATCCATACGGACACTGGGTCATATAGAAGGAATAGAGTACAGATCAACAAGATACCACCCCACCCCAGCTGCAGCTACAGCTCCAGCCAAACCCACACCGGTGCCAGTACCTCCATCACCTAAACTTCCTTCTCCCCAAACAGCTAACACTGCAGAAGGAACTGGCACATCAAAAGTGTACACCAGATCTGGCCGTCAATCTAAGCCCTCATCTAGATTGAAGGATTATGTGCCATAAGTGAAGTTATACTTTCTGGCCAGATTTTCTCTGGTTTCTCAGACAGAAAGTCATAACTATGAACGCGTATTCTAGTGTGTGTGAGACTTAGTGCAGAGACAAACGACAATAGCTACCCAGGATGTGTTTCTTAACAAAATGACGATTACTTGAGGACATTTGATTGACGTTGTTTTGATTTTGAATTTCACGCTAGATAAGAAACAAGTATGTGTAAGTAGTTTCTCTTTTATTATCTTAAAGGGGGAGATGTGCTGTATTCGATTTACGTTTACATTAATTCAGCCTCGCTTCCGTTCATGATTCGATGTATGATCACTTCCGGTAATGGCGACGACACATGTTAGAAATTATTAAAAGTTCTGTGTTGAAATCCAAGAATATATCTCCGTTTCTCGTGCCATCCGAACACCACACTCTCCAAAGCAGAGACCAACACTACAACAAGCTTTTGCTCCTTTCCAGATAACCTTACTAAGGAAGGAACCATAGTATGTCCACACTTTAAGGTTACTACGTTGTCATCACTGTTAAACACCAAACTTGTATGTCATGTCCTTATTAAAACTGACAAGGGAATGCACAGTTACACGTGTTTTAATGATGTACTGGAAAGCTATCTTAGAAAAATAAACCACCCTTTGCTTTAAGCAGATATGCCCATAGATGATTTAAAATTGTTGTTACTGAAAGCAGGGAAACAAGATATGATTGCAGACAAAACTGCAAAAAGAATAGCTCAGTTTCTGTAAAAATGTATGTCTTCCTGTAAAGTCAATTTTGAACAAATTTTGTTCCATATCCTCACAAGATTCCTAGCAAATCAAGTTGTTTGGTTAAGTTAGTTTTCATAAAGGATCAAGTTCTTATGTTAAGTTAGTTTTCAAAGATCATGTTGTTGTGTTAGGTTAGCTTCCATAGAGGATCAATTAGTTTTGTTAAGTTAGTTTTCATAAAAGATCAAGTTGTTTGGTTCAGTAATATTGTGGCAAATGTTCAATTACATTTCAAGTTAAAGGATATATATTTACACATGTTGAAACTGAAAAGAGCTCTATCTAGGAAAAATACACTTCCATTTGCTGTTAGCAGATAGATCTATACCCATAGATTATTTTAAATTGTTATTACCAAAGGCAAGAACTATTGTACTTTGTATTTAAAATGAAATTGTTGGCCTTTCATCTTCTGGTGTTGGATCATTGACGTCATTCTCACTCACTCCCTAGCTATATGGCTTAAACATTTTGTACAACAACATTGCCCTGTGACTTTCACGAGAAGTTCTATGATTCATTTAAACAAAAGAAGAAGTCAATCAACAGACCAAACAATTACGTTGCTTTCCATGTCAGATTCCTTTCTTTCTGTTTTTTTATTTCCTTCCTACAGAAGTAGCTACATGTAGTCATTGGCTACCTATTTTTGTGGCTACCTGCCTAGAAGAGGCCTGGCCACTAATGTTACGATCTGTATAAGTAAGTCCGTCCATAACCCTTTTTGATATCTGTTTGTGTAGCCCTGATCTTCTGATAGTTTTTGTAGCCAATCAGAGTGCGTTGTGATAGTTTTTGTTGCAGATCAGAGTGCGTCCGTAAGCACCTAATTCTCGGATAGTGTTCATGGCCAATCAGAGCATCGATGGTTGGTTGTCGGCCCCTTATTGATCCAAGTGTCTTTACCATGTGCTTGTGCTTCAATGTGGACTTCGATTTATCAAGGGTGAGTGAAGATCTATGTTATTTACAATGATTTCTTACTATTTTTCATAAATAACCAGGCACAGATTTCCAAGAATCTGTGATGCGTTTGTTCGTAAGGATTTTTCCAGGTTTTTTGACGTTCTTTGGAAATTTTATAGCGAGAAGACGACCACTGAATCGAAGTGTTTGTTTGGCTGCCATGATGATCGAATGACTTGTGCAGTTCAATGCCGTCAGTGGTGTTATGCAAATCGTTTGGCTCTCCATCTTGAAGTGTCAAAAAAGTTCCTTAGGGGAACGTTGAATTTCCTCACAAACACAAAATGTCTTTCGAGACAAATAATTTTTTTCGGGAAACGCAATACGTCTTTCGAGACACAACTAATTTCCTTCGGGAAACACGACATGTCTTTCAAGACACCTCTAATTTCCTTCGGGAAACACGAGATGTCTTTCGAGACACGGAAACTCTTGTTGACAGTGTGAAATGCTGCCATGCATATTTAACGAAACTGTGCCTAGTTATGAATACATGATTACCAACTGTGATGTAATCAATAGCGATGAATGTGTAAGTCGCGTACATATGTTTTGTAAATGCAAGCAAAAGGATAGTCGTTCTGGACTACATTTGCAAAAATCAGGTTGCAGAATAAGAGATCGGGAGCCATCCAGGGTATCTTTAAGGAAAGTGATATGTAAATTGAGGTGCAGAAAACTAAGAAAGAAGAACAAAAAAATGCTGAAAAACGCAGTTCCAGTTTCTTCTGATTTACATAACATTGCAGCAAAATAAAAACAGTGGAATATCAGGTATATTTAGAAGCAAGACAGTTTCTTCAGTACATATTTTTTAACAAGTAAGAGACCTACTGTTACATGCAATGTGTCATATAAACACATTTTACTGTCTGGAGATATTGAATCAAATCCAGGTCCGGTATCAAATAACAGAACAATATGCAATGGAGGATCTAATTCTCTGTTGAATTATAGATTACTTAGGTATCAGTTAAGACCACTAGATGTTGGTGGAGGGGGTGACTGCTTCTTTAGATCAGTATCTCATCAGTTATATGGTGATTCAAGTCATCACCATGAAGTTAGAGCAGCTGGTGTTCAGTATCTTAGAGACAATCCTGAACGATTTATAGAAAGCATAGTAGATACATCATGGTTGCGATATATATCTTATATGTCTTTGGAAGGAACATGGGCTGATCACATTATTATACAAGCTGTAGTTGATGCACTAAATTTAAGGATCCACATGATAGAGTCAAGTGACAATTTTAGAGATATGAGTTTGGTGGAAGCAGTAAATACCAAAAATGATCAAAGATCCATATACATAGCACACATAGGTGAGATTCACTACATCTCAACATGTTCAGAATTTTCTGAAAGGAATTCAAATTAAACTGACACAGGGGACTTGTGTATTGATTCTTGTAAATCCACTGAAAGCATCCAAAAAAGAAAGTGCAGTTCTAACATAACAGAGTACAAAAAGAAAAGATTGTCAGAAAATGGCATCAACAGTGAAAATGCTTACAATACTATTGGTGAATGTCAAACAAGCAAAACCAAAAAGAAGAAAGAGCAAAAAGCTAGCTTTGAGACAATATAGAGCGGCTAAATCATCAGTTGAGGAAAAAGAAAGGCAAAGGATAAACAAGAAAAATTACAGGGCATCTAAGACATCAATGGAAAATAAGGAAAAACATAATGAATATAAGAAACACTATGGGGCATCAAAGAGATCTGCAGAGCAAAAAACTAAAAATAATGAATACATGAAAAAATATAGAGCATCAAAGCGATCTGATAAGGAAAAGGCTTAAAATAATGCCTATATGAAAAAATACAGAGACATGTGGTGCACATGAAAATATTGAATTGTTGATTTGCAAGTTTCACGAAATAGTGTCTCAAGGACCACTGTACATTTGTACCTGCTGTGATCAGTTATGGTATAAACATAGTGTACTTCATGCTGATAAGCTAATGCAGTCCAATCCTGATGTTGAGAAATACCTCTGTAATAAATTAAGTTTTGATGACATTGAATGGGTATGCACAACTTGCTATAAGCAGCTAAGTAAAAACAGAGTTCCACCTTGTGCTGTAGCTAATGGTACAGTGTTTCCAAATAAGCCACCATTTTTTGATTTAAATGAATTAGTGTAGATTGGTAGCACCAAGAATTGCTTTTCAAAAATTAATGCAAGCTCCCAGAGGGAAGCAGCTAAAAATACATGGTAATGTGATCAATGTACCCGCTTATGTAGTGAATACTGTGAGTATGTTACCACGGTTACCAAGTGAGACTGGTACAGTTAAAGTGAATTTGAAAAGAAAATTACAAGAGCTCTGCAACGTCTTTTAATGTAAGACCACATAAAGTGGTTCAAGCTGCACATTGGCTGACAAGTAATAGTGACCTTTACAAGGATGAAGGTGTTGCATTGAATGCAGACTGAATTATTGATTTTCATGGAGAAATTTTAGAAACTGAAAGCAGTGAAAGTGCATGTCACCAGCAATATGTAACAGATGAACAAAACTGCAACAATGTAGCTTCTCATAATTTCGATGATGAAGATGAATTGAGTGAAGATGAAGTAGAGGTTCCTGCAGGTGTTACTGATACTATGCAACAACTGACTTTTTAGAAGATAGCGAGCATCAAAATATTCTCGATGTTGCACCAGCTGAGGGAAATATAAGTATATTCAGATATAAGAATTCAGAAGAATTAGCATATCCTGGAATATTTCTTGGCCAGAAAAGACCTGAATGAGCACCCTATGGTTAAGGTTCACTATAGTGATATCTGTAAATCTCAACTCAGAAGATCAGATACAAGAGCAGCTATGTGTGTCAAGAATATATTCTATAAAACTAAAAAGTTACAAATGAAAATTACTTTGGGAAAATCACATATTGCTCAGATCTCTCAATGCAGAAAGATTGAAGCAACAGGGAACATTAGAAGGTTTAATTCATCATGATGAAGGATTTAAATTTCTAGGAGCTTTAAGAGGTTCACCACCATACTTTGAAAAGGCCAAGAAAGACTTGTTTGCTATGATAAGACAGTTATGTCCTGCCTCACTATTTTGTAGTTTCTCTTCAGCAAACACAATGGGTTCACTTACTTACATTTTGACTACTAAGTATGTAAATTTCTAAATAACTTCCTCTTGACTGATACTGCACCACTGGGGAAGATTTCTGACTGGTTTTATAGAGTGGAATACCAACAAAGAGGTTCACCTCATATACACATGTTGATACGGCTTGAAGATGCACCTGAATTTGGTAAAGATAATGATGCAAAAGTGACATCATTTACTGATAAAATAATTACTTGTCAAAAGCCTATAGATAATCTTGAACTACTGAATTTAGTTAACAGACAAGTACATAGGCATTCACACACTTGTTGAAAGAATACAAAAAGTGAATGCCGATTTAATTATCCAAAGCCTCCCATGAGACAGACTCAAATATTGCTACCTCTAGACTCTGATATGCCTCAAAATGAAGTAAAAATGCACAAAGACAGATGGAAATCAATCAAGAAGCATCTCAGTGACATAAAGGATGATCAAGATACAAATATTTCCTTTGGTCAGTTACTTCTAGATCTTAATGTCATTGAAGAAAGCTATTTACTAGCTGTAAGGTCATCACTAAATGCGCCTACTGTATTTCTAAAAAGAAATCCTAATGAACTACATATTAATAATTACAATCCTGCTTGTCTTAATGCATGGAGAGCTAATATGGACATCCAGTATGTCTTGAATGTGTATGCATGTGCTGTTTACATAGTGAATTACATATCAAAGGCTCAAAAAGGAATGAGTGAACTTTTACGACTGGCTTGTGCCAAAACAAGGAAAGGAAATTGTAGTATAAAACAGCAAGTCAGAGATATAGGCAGTAAATTTGTGAATAATGTTGAAATCAGTGCACAAGAAGCTGTTTATATTGTTCTACAACTTCCAATGAGAAAAGCTTCTAGACAAGTAATATTCATAAATACCTCACCTCCTGAGGAAAGAGTAGAGCTTCTAAAGCCATTAGATGACATTAAAGATATGGAAGATGACTGTGAAGACATCTATACCAATGGGTTAATAAAGAGATATACTATGCGAACATCAAGCTTAGAAAACATCACACTTGCAGACTGGGCAGCATGGTATGATATGTGTGGGAAACCTTATGTAAAACAGTCAAATGAGTAAGACGTTGATAATCTTCTTTCTGAAACATGCAATGATGATGATTATAATGATGATGATGGTGATGATGACAAATCTAGTAAGAAAGTCATTTTGGCCAAAACCAAGAAAAGAACTAAGGCAAGAATAATACGAAGTTGTTGGTTCAGTAAGGAAGCTGAACCAGAAAAATATTATTGTGAGCTTATTATGCTTTTCACTTCATGGAGACATGGAGAAATGAAGAAACCGATTTAATTGGTGCCTGTTCATCTTATCAACAACGTTATATGCTGCTATTCAATGCAGTTGAAAAGCAAATGAAACAATATGCTATCTGCAATGAAGACTTTAATGAAATACAACAGGAAATGAATACATTAGACAAAAGTTACATGTATGATACTAGAGCACCTTGTACTCAGAATATTGGAGATCACGACGAGACTGAAGGTGATACAGATTTACACCCTGATTTTAATGAGAACTACAACCTGTCAGATGATATTGGTATTCCCTCTGTGGATTCAAATACTAAGCCATTAATATTGAATGAGATGCAAGATGATGAATATAGATGCATGGTACAAATGTTAAATAGAGAACAAAAAGAATTCTTTTATCATGTGTTACACTTGACAAAAACTTCAGATGAACCATTCTACTGCTTTCTTAGCGGAGGTGCAGGTGTAGGTAAATTGCACCTAACAAAGGCCTTCTATCCGGCTGCATTGAAGTACTATAAAGTACATTCCAGTCTCGGCGATTGCTATGAGTGATTTCATGGTCTTTCGGAAAGATCGATCACTGTCTCGTGGTGGCGGTCTTGCTGTGTACGTGAATAGTACCATTCGCTGTAAGTCGCT